AGAAGCTGAAATGTCTCCGATCTGATAATGGAGGCGAGTATACTTCCAAGGAGTTCAATGCATATTGCAGGACATATGGCATTCGACATGAGAAGTCAGTACCATGTACCCCTCAGCACAACGGTGTTTCTGAAAGAATGAATCGGACTATCATGGAGCGTGTCCGAAGCATGATGAATATGGCTAAATTACCAAAGTCATTTTGGGGAGAAGCTGTCAAGACCGCATGTTATCTAATCAACCGATCACCTTCAGTTCCATTAAATTTTGAAGTTCCAGAGAGAATATGGACTAGTAAGGATCCGACATACTCACATCTCAGAGTATTTCGTTGTGTAGCATATGCACATGTATCCAAAGAGCTCAGGAAGAAGCTCGATGCGAGGTCAATCCCATGCATTTTCATTGGTTATGGAGATGAAGAGTTTAAATACAAATTTTGGGATCCAAAGGAGAAAAAGGTGATCAGAAGTAGGGACGTTGTGTTCCAAGAAAATTTGACAATAGAAGATATCGAAAAGCCCAAGATGTCTCAGAAGTCAAATATGGGTGCTCAATATTCAGATGAAGCACCAGAATTGTTCCGGAGAAACAATGAAGATGATTTACCAGAAGAAGATGAGGAGACAGAAGAGAGTGCAGAGCAAGGGGAGCAACAACCCACCTCGCCAGAGCAAGGGGAGCCACAACCCATTTTGCCAGACACCAATGTTGGAAGTTCTTCTCAGATGGTTCTACCCACTCGTAGATCTGAACGGGGTCATATACCATCAAAAAGGTACTCATCATCTGAATACCTTCTATTGACAGAAGATGGAGAACCAGAGAGTTTTCAAGAAGCCATATCTCATAAGGATAAACAAAAATGGATGGCTGCGATGCAGGAAGAGTTGGATTCTCTGCAGAAAAATCAAACCTATGAGATAGTTAAACTTCCAGAAGGGAAAAAGACTTTGAAAAACAAATGGGTGTTCAAGCTGAAGAATGATGCAAATGGACAAGTGGTAAAACACAAAGCTCGATTGGTAGTCAAAGGCTTTCAGCAGAAGAAAGGGATTGATTTTGACGAGATCTTTGCACCAGTTGTCAAGATGACCTCAATTCGAGTCATACTTGGCTTGGCAGTAAGTATGAATTTGGAGCTTGAACAGATGGATGTGAAGACAGCTTTTCTTCACGGAGATTTGAATGAAGAAAAATATATGCAGCAGCCAAATGGTTTTGAGGTTTCAAGTGAGAACCTCGTGTGCAAGCTATTGAAAAGCTTGTATGGTCTAAAGCAAGCACCAAGGCAGTGGAATAAGAAGTTTGACTCATGCATGAAGAGTCAAGGTTACAAAAAGACTACTGCAGATGAGTGTGTTTACATCAAAAGATACTCAAATGGGGCTTTCATAGTTCTTCTACTGTACGTCGACGACATGTTGATCGTTGGGAATGATGCGAAGAAGATACGTCAGCTGAAAAAAAAAACTTTCCAAGTCTTTTGATATGAAAGATTTAGGAAAGGCTCAACAGATTCTTGGGATGCAGATTACTCGAGACCGAGAGAACGGCAGTTATGGCTATCTCAAGAGAAGTACATTGAACGAGTACTTGAAAGATTCAATATG